AAAAACACACAGCAAGACTTCTTGAGCTGTCCATCTGTTTGTGTGCTTTCCTTAGCCAGGTTTAATTTGGATTTGGATTTAGGGGCATGCTAGAGACACCTCAGTACAGTTGCTGTCAAAGATGACCATAGGTTTTTGTGGGTGAGTAGCTGGAGCCTGTTAAAAAGCAAAGCCTGCTGCAGCTTCTGAAGATTAAATCAGTCAATACAGTTTTTCAGAATAACTGCAGTGTGTCACAAGGAATCACACTGGACATGTTTTCTGCTTTTCCTTTTTCTTTTTCTTGACAGTAAATCCAAGGCAGCTGTTTTGTAGAGCGGGAGCATATATGCACCCTGAGCACTTGCTGAAGGAAGGTGGATTTGTAAATGAATCCACATGTGAGTGAGCAGTTGTTTCTAGGGATGGTCCAGTGCAGCAGTACTTACATCTTCTGTCTGTATTTACCTGAGAGATGAATGAACAGAAATATTCTCCCTTACGTATGCTGTTGCGCAGGATTTGGAATCACAGAAATATGCAACTAGAAGTAAATAGTGACCCATAGAGTTGCTGGTATCAGATGTGTGGCAGTGTGCAACAGACAGATAGATCCACAAATGCCGGATGTGAAAGTAGTATCTGGGAGATACTCAAAAGCTTTCTGGACATGGTCCTGGGCAACTACTGGCTCTTGGTGGCCCTGCCTGAGGGGGAGGTTGGACCAGGTCTCCAGAGGTCCCTTCCAACCCCAACTGATCTGTGATTCAGTAACAACCTTTAAAAAGCAAAGCATTAGAAAAACAGACTCTCAATTCTCGATCAGGTGTAGGTCATAAAGAGCTTATTGCATCACCCAAGTGGGTGAGGCAGGGGAGTTTGTGACACTTTTTGTTTCCTTTGAGACCTGTGCTAAGTTGTGCCATGTACAATGACACAGAGGAACGGGACACTGACTGCTCATGAGACAGTGGGGCTGGTCCCATGTTAACCCATGTGTTTCAAGAATCATGTGCTGCAGGTGGCATGCAGGGAGGTGACTTATGACTGTTGATGGCACTTAATCTAATGTGTTAAGGGTACCTCATAGTAATTTGTGATGTTTAAGTATCTCTTCATTGTACCTGCTGGGGATTCTGTGTGTGTTTATTCAAATGTGCACTTAGGTAACGAAGATCCAATGAAATGGGGCCTGGGGGGCTTTTACTCTGCAGATGTGGTTGAGCACAAAGAATGGTGGGGGTTTTTCTCCCCTGTGATTTTTATTTCCTCTGAGGCGTTGATTAGAGATCTTGCTTACTAACAAACCAACTCCCTTGTAACTGTCATCAGAGATTTTGAGTCTCTGCTCCTGAGCCTGCCTGAGGCTGGTGACCATCTGTCCACCTAGTGTGGAGGGGTTGGCCAAGTCTCTATGCCCATCCCTGCACCTGCCATGTGCTAATGATGCTGTTGAGTGGTGTTTCCAAACAGGAAGTCTAAAACCTATGACTTTCTATGAGTCTCATAGACTTTCTGTCTCTTTCTTATGACTGTATTGCCTTTAGCACAGTGGGAAAAGGAAGCCAAACAAGTTCTGAATGTTTTCATGGCTAGTTTTAGCTGCCAGTCAGGTGTGCAGTCACTTGGAAGTTGATTAACCCAGGCACGTCAGGTGCTGTTATCTTCTTTCTGGGGCTGTGCAGTCTCACTCTGAGCTCCCCTGTCTCACTTTGCCCTCCATGTGTTTATTTTAAGTAGCATGACAATTTTCAGTCACACTTGTGAAGCTCCAGGCTTCCCAAGGGGAGGGAGGAGGAAGCAGGAGTTGCCCCCTCGCAGCAGGCTTGCTCTGAAAGCTGCTGTTTGCTTAGGCCAGCTGCCATGAGTGTTTTAAAGCAACAATCCATCTTCTTGGTGAATGACTGGTATATGCTTTTACTGAGGAGTTTTAGGAGGGTGAAATACCTTTAAAAGAACTGCTGTATTTAATCTTCAGCAGCACCAAAAGGCAGAATCATGAGGTGCTTTCTGGGTTATGTGCTGCAGAATAGAGACATTGGAAAGCTTGTACAGGAGGGAAAGCCTGAGAGCATTAACAGTTGAGAATTTGGTAAGATCTTGAGAGAGAGAAAGCATAAGGCCCTCACATGATTTCACCTGCTTTGTGGCATAATTCCAAAGCAGTTCTCAGTGTGCCTCCTGGTGGGAGGGCACACAGCTCCCCTTAACTGGACTGTCAAATATAATGGAAAATTGTATTGCAAGAAATATTGACTATTGAATTCTAACCCCTGTTCTTATACAAACATTGATCATTATAGTATTTAATTTACCAACATCTTTTCAGGACAGATTGACCATCATCTCAAATTAAATAATATGTCATCAGCATTTCCCAGGGACCCAGTTTGTGTTAAGTCTTCCCTTTACAAAGCCTTGTCGATATGGACAAAGGATTTAAATTATCTCAGTTCTGTTCCAGAACTGCACTTATTCAGCCTTTTCCTCTTGAATTGGAAAGAACCCTTTTTGTTATTTCCGAATAATATCCAGACATCTGGTAATTATAAAGCAATTATCCCAACTTGGTTTATTCTATTACTGCTGTTCTAGTTCATTTTCTACCAAGTTGTAAGGAGACAACCTGGGCAGATTTGCTGAAGTCAACTGACTTTAAAAGGGGAAGAGAAAGTTTCTACCAAATTTTTCTCTCACAAAACTTGTGTCATGAGAGGAAGAGTGTACTACTGGTGTAATTTATGGTAATTACCCATACACACACACTAGTTATACCAAACCTGGAGTAAATTAAGCTGATAGAAACTCTTCACTGCAAAGTAGTGTTGAAGCCCCAGTAGTTCTATGACACTGATCTGTGCAGATTTCAGCTCAGAGCCTCTGGGCTGCAGAAAAACTGGTGATGAGCAGTTTGTTTGGTTCTGAGACACGGGGTCAGTCCCATGCTCACTCACCCTTACTACTGCCCAGAAAAAAATCAATTATGAAAAGAAAAAGAAAAAAAAGTTACATTAAATTAAAATGTGGAAGTTTTGCATCAAAACTGTGGATCTTTCTGGTTTTCATCGTCTGCCATTAAATACTAAAATGTCCTTGGTCTGGAGGAGGTAGAGATTGTTAAGAATGGATTGAGAAAGCCCTTGGTTCATAGGCATTTAACAGTAATATGATTGTCTTGGTGTGCTGCACAGATGCTCTGTGCTGCTCTTGGGGTGGCGGCTGGTTGGCAGAGCTGCTCTCTGGGTGAGGCACAGACCAGCTGTGCCATGGGTGCTGGGTGATGCTCCCAGGCCAGGCATGCCCTGCACAGGCAAGGTCTTTGTGTTTGTCTAGGCCATGGGGAGAAGTCTGATCACTGACAGCCCTGGAAAAATCTTAATGAAATTACAAATTCCAAGAAGAGTTATCTTTACAAATGTGTATTACTTGCAAATGCATGTCCCTACATCTCATAGACAGCATGTTTGCTGTGCAGTACTGATATCATGCATAGTGTTGGTCCCACTGATTAATATTAATTCTTAGCACCAATTTTCCATTGAGCTCTCCAGAGCTCCAGGGTTTCTACAACTCAATCTTCTTAAGAAAGCAGTTGATATTGCAGGAGTCACAACAGACCAAGAAATTATATTGTATGGTTTCCAGCAGCTGAGCTCCTCTAGAAAATGAATCAATTGCTTCCCCAGGTGTCTGGTTTTCCTCTTGAGGGGGCAACAGAGAACCTTAGGGTTATGGAAAGGAGCCCGGGTAACCCCCGGTGCCGGCCAGTGTTGCAGCCTGCGGGGTTTTTGGCATTAAATACGGAATGATGAACCGTGAGAGAGGTTACAGTTAAGTGTAACAGCATTTTTGTTTTGTAAAGCGCATATTCCCAATCACGGACATGGTTCTGCGACTGGGCAGTAGCGGTGGGTCGGCTGGCAGCTGTTCCAGTGGAACGACCCGGGGAGCGGAGCGTGCGGGCAGCAATCGCGGCTGCTCACCAGCTCCTCACCGGGACAGGGGCCGCGGGATCCAAACGCGCGTTCGTTTTAAAACTGAGGGATGGAGATTCCCTGCGGGACGCGGTGGCTGCGGCTCGCGGCTCCCCGGCCCGGCGAGGCCTCCCTGCCGCGAGGGGGCGGGCGGGGCCGGGCGGGGCCGCGCCGCGGCGGGCGCGCAGCCATGCACGGGCGGCGGGCGGCCGGCGGGAGCCATGCACGGGGAGCGGGCGCTGCTGCCCCGCCGGGACAAGGTACGCGGGGGTCCCGCGGGACGGGCGTTCCTCCGCCGGAGGACCCAGCGGGGGCGGGCCGGCATGGGGGCACGGTCGGCTCCAGGGAGGAATGTCCGGGTCAGGAGCCGCCGGTGCGACCGCACCTGCCCGGTCCTTCGCGGGTTCGCGGCGGGTACTTGGCGGGTTGGATTGAGCTGAAACAGCCTATAACTTTTTTTTTTTTTTTTTTCTCCATACGTGGGGCTTGTCTTTTGAAACTCACTTTTTCCCTCCCACTCGGAGACACCTGCTCGCAGGGTTTGCCGCGGCAAGGCGTGCATTCGGGTGCCTCTCAGGCTCCATTTTTCTGACCGTAGTAGATCGGTTGTAGGTTTCACTGCTGCTGCTGTTCAGACAGATGAAGCACTAGGAATGACTCGGGTGTGCTGTACTGTACAGTTAAACCCTGTGACTTCTGCTCTCAATTACCTTCTTGGTCTCTTCACTCTCTAGCTAGTTGAGCCCTGCCCTTGTACTGATACCTTGGAGTGCTTGGTCTGCCAAACTGGGGTGCCTTGTTGCACGTTTGTGCTTGAATTTTCAATTATTTGAGATAATTAAGTGGAGTCAAGTATGAGAGGTTTTGCTTTTTTTAAACTTTTGCTGGATCTCTTTAAAATATATGAAGCTCTCCTGATTGATACTGTCCCCTGGCCAGCTGAAAAAAGATACAATTTTTCAGAATTAGTTGGCATAAAGAAGGAAAGCTTTTCCGTTGGTGAAGCTGCTGATTAGCACTCATGTTTCTCTCTCTCTCTGTGCTTAGATTGAGCGATTGGAAGTCAGCAGCTTGGCACAGACCTCCAGTGCCGTGGCCTCCAGCACTGATGGCAGCATCAATGCAGACTCTGTTGATGGGACCCCAGATCCGCAGCGGACAAAAGTGGCCATCACACACCTGCAGCAGAAGATACTGAAGCTGACAGAGCAGATCAAAATTGAGCAAACAGCCCGTGATGACAACGTGGCAGAGTACCTGAAATTGGCCAACAATGCAGACAAGCAGCAGAGTGCCCGCATTAAGCAAGTGTTTGAGAAGAAAAATCAAAAGTCAGCCCAGACCATCTTGCAGCTGCAGAAGAAATTGGAACATTACCATCGAAAGCTGCGAGAGATTGAACAGAATGGGATCCCTCGGCAGCCAAAGGATGTCTTCAGGGATATGCATCAGGGTTTGAAAGATGTTGGAGCAAAAGTCACTGGCTTCAGTGAGGGAGTGGTTGACAGTGTAAAAGGTGGACTTTCCAGTTTCTCCCAGGCCACACATTCAGCAGCAGGAGCTGTGGTTTCCAAACCCCGGGAGATTGCCTCCCTCATAAGGAACAAGTTTGGGAGTGCAGACAATATTGCTAATCTGAAAGACTCCTTAGAAGAAGGCCAGGAAGATGGGACAGGTGGCAAGGCTCTAGGTGTTATTCAGAACTTTCAGTCAAGCCCAAAATATGGCAGTGAAGAGGATTGTTCCAGTGCCACATCAGGCTCAGTGGGAGCCAACAGTACAACAGGGGGCCCTGTGGGAGCTTCCAGCTCCAAAACAAACACTCTGGATATGCAGAGCTCAGGGTTTGATGCAATACTGCATGAGATACAAGAAATTCGAGAGACACAGGCAAGACTGGAAGAATCATTTGAGGACCTTAAGGTTCGCTACCAGAGGGATTACACATTGATAATGCAGACCCTGCAGGAGGAGCGGTACAGGTATGTGCTGTGGTACTTGGTTTGACATTCCAATGCTGTGATTGCAAAGCACCAGAGTTGTGGATGGTAGTGCTCAGCAGGCTGTTCCCAGCAGCCTGATTCAAGTGGATGGTTCTGAGGTCTTCTCAGGACTATTCCCTCCCAGTTCTGCCTTTTATAAATATTTCTATCTTGCTGCTCACCTCCTTCTCTGTACAAGAAAGAGATTGTAAGGAAAAAGGTTATTTCAAAATGTTTTCAAGATAAAAAGTGAAGCTGAAGAGGTCTTAGAAGGTGTCCCAAAGCCAGGAGTACATTGATGCAATTACTGTTATCAGACAGTGCTTTGCCCTGCAAAAAATCCTGAAAATATTTGGATCAAAGCAAATGACAGGGAACTAATGCAGACATGACTTGACCATGCCTTCTCCAACACTCAGATCCATATCTACCAGAGAAAGAAACATTCCAGCTTTCTTCAAGTTCTCTAAAAATACATGATCTTGCCCACGTGCCAAAACTAAGATATCCCTTCCCTTCTTTGCTCAGTCCACAGTGGCAGCACTCAGGGAAATGAAGTTGAATTAAATGTCAGATACTGACAGTGCTCTTGTTGTGGAGATTATAGGCACTGGAAGCAGGTGACCTATGTTTCCATCAGTCTTCCCCTCACTGGAAGGGAATGGAAAGGTGGAGCAGTTGCTGCAGTACTGCTGATCCCTGATGAAGTCACAGGGGAGAGGTGACAGTGGCCTTCAGTAAGGCAGCCTGACTGGCTGCCCCCACCTCCCTGCTGAGGAAAGCTGCCCATGGAGAGGTGCTGAGGGAATGCTTCCCTCTCCTTGCTGGGTAGGAGAGGCTCTCTGCAGACTGCACTGTGCTGTCCTGCCAAACACCTCATGTCCCCCCACACGCATGCTGGGAGCAAGGGCTTGGCTCCAGGCTCTGAAGGGAAGAGTTACTAGCTGCCCTTCTGCAGGCACCCACCCTGCACAGGATTCTTAAACTTTAAATAACAAATGCAAAGCACAAGCCCTCCTTCTACTGAAGGACAGTACGCTGTTGTCATGAGGTTCTTTATGGCCTTCATTGCTTTGCCAGGATGTGAAACACAACCTGAAAGGCACAGCAGAGCTGCTGGGGGTGTGTACAGGCTTGCTGAAGTGCCCTGTGCCACTTGCTGCACTGGTTTGTGCAGTGTAACATAGAGTTGCCCTACAGCTCTTTAGACGTGCTTATGCCAAAACATTAGAAAAACTCTGGAAAAGGCTAACCTGCTAGGATCTGGTAGAGACAGCAGGCTCTCAGTGTGCTTTGCAGAGCTTGGGCAAACAAAGCCAACACTGCTTTCTAATCCTGCTTTGTAATAATCAACAGTTTGACTGAAACCGGCAACCAGCACAGCAGCTTTGGTTCCTTGTGCCTCAGTGTCATCAAGTCATCCCAAAGCGATGCAGAGCTGGATCTTCTGCTCCTCAGAGAGGAGAGAGGTGCTGTTGTCTGTTGCTGTGTAGGTTGTTGTTTCACACATACAGCAGCAGCCATTCATGGTGGAACGCTAATGCAAGCACAGCATAGCTGAAGGAGTGGCCTGAAAGTACAATAGCAGACCTTGGGGACTGATGTGCGCTGTCAGCTAAGCGGGCTGCTTACTGCCCAACACCTCTGAGCAAGGTTCACATAGGTCCCATACTAGCTCACCATGAAGTCATATCTGTTATGTGCCATTAACCTTTGCAGAGCTTTACTCCCCTGAGGTCAGCCCAGACCCCAAGCACTAACCAAGGCAGCCTGGAGTGAAAAGCAGGGACAATCTGCATTTGGCTTATAAAAGCTTAAGACAGTAATTTAGACCTGTCATTTGGAATGATGATGCAAATTAATTAAAGGTGTGACCTTTAAAGAGGACCAGTTAAACCACACTCCGTGCCCTTGTCTGTGTGGGTAACTGCATGATCAGCAAGAGCTCATGGGTTAATCACGATTAGATGACTACAGGACTGTATAAATGTAGATTCTTGTTTTTATAGCTTCTGTATTTTGAACTATCACAATGATAAAAGCCAACATCACCTTAGAAGTGGACGGTGATGTAATGTGTCCAAGGGCAGAGGGTGCTGCTGCCTTGGCAGGGAGGGGTGGTGCCTGTTCCTCCAACTGGAACCCCTCTTGCTCCTCAGCTCTCTTCAGAAAAAAGCTAAAAAAAGGGAAAAGAAGTTGTGATTTAATGCTGGCAGGCTGAGGGTTCAGATTAATCATAATTGGCTTTAAAAGTTGTAAATATCTCCTAACTCTGCTGTTTATGGGAAGCTTTTAAAAACAAACACAGAGTTGAGTTGGAGCTTAAAAAAAAGTTTTTGGAGAAGTCTTTTTCTTGTCAGGTGACACTGAGTGTTTGCATTTTACCTGGAAGCTGGAACAAAGAACATGCCATGACATTTTCTCACCTGGTCTTAATCCATTTCCTCTTTCTTTAATTGTCTACTGTTTTGTAGGTTCTGATCTTTTTTCCCATTTTTGTTTGTGCAGTTTCTGTTTATCAGCCATGGCTTGCCTCACAGGTTTTCCATGACCTCCTTCATCTCCTCCCTCCCCTCTCCCTGCTTCCAAATCTTGTCTACCATCCATGTGGCTGCTGGTTTGCTAACCCTAGTCTCAGAGGCAGGGACTCACCTGTCCAGTTTCTCCAGTTCTCCCGCCCTGGTGCAGGCCTGGCAGCACCATGGCAAGGCCAGGGTGGGCTGTGCTGCCCAGCACGTGCTGGCCCTTGAGCACTGCTCTGCTCTGCTGGGGCTGAGCCAGTGAGGAAGGAAGAGTCTGACGGTACTTGGCCATCATTGTTTTCTTCTGCACCAGGAGCAAGCGCTGTAATGGCTTGTTGCTAATCTCATTATTGGAAGGTGGCAGTTGTTTACTGGTACAAGCAGGGACTTTCTGTGCTATCGAGACTGAAATAAAGTTCCTGCTGAGTATTTTCATCTTGCTTGTCCCTTCAGGAACCTGTTTGTACATGGCAAAACCATAAGCGCACATATTTGGAGTGTGGCCAGTCTAAGGTTTTGGGTTTCTTCCCAAGGCTGACGGCCTTGGAAAGGGCATTTAGGTCTCCCATGCTCCTGTCAGAAGAAAACCTTCAGCCTAAAGGCTAGTCACTGGTGCTTCCATTTGTCTGAGTTCTAATGTAGTCTTAATTGTCACACTTCAGTCTGTCCTCATGATGTGTTTTAAAATAGATCAAAGGAGCTAAACCTCTGAGGTCTGGGAGGGTTGGCAAGGCTGTTCTGGAGCGTGGCCAGGCAGTGGAAGCAGCGTGTTGGTGCTCACCCAGCCAGGACAGCACCAAAACAGCCCTGCGAAGCTGTCTGTCCTCCTTCTAGGGAGGCTGGGAGCTGGAAGTACACGGACGTGTGCGGGTGTCATGAGCAGCTTGTGCTCCCTGTTGGGAGCAAGCTCTGTCCTTCGTCTGTCCTGCTAGATCAAAGACTTGGAGCATACTAGAAGTAACTTCTGGTTTTAGCTGTTTACTCCACTATTTGAAGCACTGTCGTCAGTAGCATAAAGATGTATTTAGTGACAAATAAAGATTACATGAAGGTTTGTATGGCATAGCTATAAAAAGGAAAAGGTCCATCTTGAGAGACATCTGAAGACAGGTACTAAATTTCATTCACAGTCTAATGCAGACGTTTTTGTAGCATTACTTTGATCAGAGTTTCTTTACTCACCATAGCACTAAGTGCAGATCAAATGCCTTTTTTTATCACATCCCTCCCTTCCATATGCTGTGCTAGCTGTGCATTTTGCAACTATTACTTTAAAATACCTTAAAGCTTTTTTTAAAAAATGAAATGGTCATAATTGTGTTTCTGAGCCTTTTTTAGACCACTTTTGCAATTCCCACGCAGTGAGCCTCAGAAAACATGTGGAAATACAACACAGCTATTTGAAATGAAGTGTTCCCATATCCCACACTTGAGCCAAGCACCCCAGCTATTTACTGTGTCCGTAGGAACAGCTCTGATGATCTCTGTGATACTTGTGACAGGCAGCATTGGTCTGCTGCACAGAGATGTTTCTGGACCTTGTTCTTTTAAGGATAAATTTCACATTTTAAATAGTAACAAAATAGTTCTTGAGGCATTTTCCATACGTGAGGTGAAGTAGGATTTGATTATTCAGGGCATTGCTATATTCACAGACAAGTTTAGTTTGTTCAGTAGACCCTGGCACTGATGAATTAGAGGCATGTATTTCATCTTAACCCTCTTGACAGGTAGCCTATCCCTTTTATTTGTGTAATACTCCCACTTAAATGCAAATCAGCTTTCAATAGGGAAACCCTGGTTCTGGGTCCCATTAGTGCTTTTTAAATTTGAACACCAGTAGAAAGCAGCTGGAAAAAATTATTTTCTAAATTGTAGATATTGGGACAAGAAGTAAAAATAAGCTGAATGGAGGATGTGTCATTTAAAAAATAAATCAGGGTAGGTTAGTGGGGGCACGGATGTGTTTTTTTTTAAATAACCCAGTTCTAGCAGTTGCCTGACACAGTGAGTTCTGAAAGTGCAGGTGATTCTTGGATGCAAACTGCAGCAGTTCTGGTGTTGAGCAGGGAGTGAAGTGTGGATTGGGAATGAACTGGTTGTTCTGCAGTCTTTAGGGCAGGAAGATTGGAGCCAACCCTTCTGCTAATCATGTTCTGTTTAAACTCTTAACTATACAGATTAGCAGGGTTTCCTTATGTTTCCTGTAGATTGAGGTAGTTTTGAAGTTATTAAAATACAATTGTTTCCTGTTAGAGAACAGGATTTAAGCTGCTTGGCAACAGCTGCTTTATGAAAAGTGTTTTTATGTGAGACGAGGTTAAAAAATACAATCATGCTATTTTCAGAAATGCTTAAGTTTCTTTTTGTGTGATAAACACACTGCTGAATTTTGTAATATTATTATAAAGTAACAAACAATATATTTGTAAGTATATTATTATAAAGTAACAAACAATATATTTCAAGTAATTGATGCTACCTTTGGGGCTTGGAGTGGGTTTAGTTGTGATTTTTTGGTTGTTGGCAAGTTTTGTTGTCAGTTTTAAGTCGTGTGGGAACAAAGGGCAATATTAATTATCTGGGCTCCTTCTTTGTTAGCCAGTCTTCATATGGCCATTCCCTTGTCAGTCCTGGGAAACCAGTTCTCTGGTGTATCCTGGCACAATTGCAGAGCTCTTCTGGCACCTTTCTGGGCTCAGCCATGTCAGCTGGCAGTTGTCTTGGTTTCACTGCAGGTTGACCTCATGCATTTTACTGCTGCAAATTGTCATGCTGTGTCTGACTCCTTCTTAGTTTAAAGTAATATTGCATTAGGAACATAAACAAAAATTCTTTTCATACTTGTCTGTTAAAAACAAAACACTAAGACTGTTTTTAAAGGCTAGCTTTTGACTACAGATTCTAAAACACAAAAAAAAAAATCTTGAAAAAAATGAGAAGCAGGATTTGTGTCTTAGTTTCAGAACTTGCAATTAAATTCTTCATTCTAGATAAATATTTCTTGTTCATCTTGTGGGTTTTTTTTGTAGGAATTAAATTCAGTGGAGTCAAAAGAAAACCAAAATTTAAACAAGGAATTATCTCTGTGGTTATATCCTTAGAAATGTCTTGGTTATTAGCATCAAGATTCAGATGATAAGTACTGTGTGGTAAGCTTTTTCCATCTGCTACAGTGAGTAGACAGTGGAAAAGGCCCAATGGCCACCACAGCTGTGCCCATACCTTTGTTACCATCAGAGCTACCATTTCAGTTAATTTATAACTCTCTTAGGGAGAAGCAAAACTTTATCTCTCCAAGTTGTTTAACTCAGTTTGTTTAAGCAACCCTCTTCCTCAGGACTGCTCCTGGTCCATTCACCAGGAGCAAACTGAAAAATAAGCCTGCAGGTTAGTGATTCATGTGTCCTTCTTACAAATAATGTGATGGTATTTGCTTGTTAAGTTGCATCATTCATGGGAGATAAAGGAAAAGCAAATCAAAGATCCATGTGACCTCATGCAGAGATCAGACAGTAACACCATGTTCTCTGAGGCATCAGTCACATGTCATTTCCGTGTAATTTTTATGCCCATTACTGTTCCAAGTGTAGATAAAAACGCTTAGGAGTTTATGGTATTATAGAAGGGAGCTGTTTGGTTTACACAGAAGTTTGGTGAATACCTCATTCTATTCTTATTCTGTCCTCGATTTCTTGCATCACTTAACAGTTACCATGCAATTGTGTTTTCTCCAGGTTAGGAACAGTATCACAGAGTTTACTTGGTAGAAAGAAGTAATTCCCAGCAAGGGGGCATTAGTGCTAGAGTGTGCTGTGTGCTGACTGAGGCAGCCATGCTGGTTTCAGTACACAAGCCATGGTGTTCATTGCTTGTTTGTCACTGGTGTCATTTTGCCATCCTCTTCTCATTAAAGCCATTGTACCGTGTGTTGTCATTTCTAGATGTGAAAGACTTGAAGAGCAGTTAAATGACCTGACTGAGCTCCACCAGAACGAGATTCTCAATTTAAAACAGGAGCTGGCCAGCATGGAGGAAAAGATTGCCTATCAGTCTTACGAGCGAGCCCGGGACATCCAGGTGGGTGATAGAACCAATGACCCAAGTCCTGCCCTTTGCCTGCTCTTTCAGGAACTCATTCACTTTTGAAATATGCCTGCACTTCAGTATTTGTTTTTAGTCCTTGTAGCTTTATTGCTAAACTGCTGCATTCAAAAAGGTCCTTTTTCCATCTCTGACCTCTGGGTATCTCTCCAGGTAACGTCCTCTGTAAAGCAGGGCTGTGTCCCACACCAAGGGAACCTGCCGCTCAGCTGGAGCAGAGCAGGAGCCAGAGCCCACTTTTTGTGCAGGTTTTTGTATTAGACACTCAATGGGCCGTGACCCAAACACTTTTTTACAGTCATGTTCCCAGTACATGGCCCTGGGGTGTGGTTGTGTCACTGATTTTACAGCAATGGTCACATACATCTAAGGAAAAATGGCTTTGTGTGTGCACTGCATTGAGTCAGGAAACAGTTCTTTCTGTTGGCTTTGAAGAAATAAGGAGGTGTTTCTAAAAGTTTCTTTTAGTATGTAAAAAAGGTTGTGAAACAGAGATCTTGGAGGCCCTTCTACAAAGCAAAGCAGCTGCTGACCCTTACAGAGAAAGGCCTATTCAGAAACAAGTCTCTTGACTATTATAAGTACTTACTGTGGTAGTTTTAACAGATATCTCAGTTCTGATTGCTAATGGGAAATATTTGTAGTGTGAGCAGAGAGTTGTAGTTCAAGAGTTCTCCCTTTTTCCTGCAGTGGTACTTCAGCCAGGTGATTTCCTCTGAAGACCAAGCAGGCTATGCTGTTCATACACCAGATGTAACTCTGATTGTCAAACATTCTTCCTGGTCACTGCTGTTTGGGACAGCTGAGCAATTCTGCCCTGTGCTTTCAGGGGTCTTAACCAAGGAGAGGCATTCATGTTTCATTGACCCCCACAGACATGATGCAGTGAGAAATGTAACAGGTGACAATGACCTTTAAGTTAAATTTAATCAGTGTCTGTGCACAGTGGTACAATGGCCCCTGGCAGTGTAAACAGGAGGCTCTCCCTTGGGGGAGTGTTACAACAGTCGGGTTTTGTTCTCCTCTCTAAATTCAGATGGCAGGAAGATTGAATTGAAGTGGGATTTCTCAACAGTTTTTTTTTAATTTTCATTGTATGATTCAGTACTTTTGGTGTAATCTTAAAAGTTGGGACAGCCTATTTCTCAGCACTGCTGGGGAAGAGGGAAGTGTTTTGTTGTATAAAAAACTATTTAAGAGCATGGGCTACTGTTGCAGAGGAACAGTCCTGGTTCCTTTTTTGGTGATCAGTCTGGGAAGGACTGCTGCAGACTTGTATATCATATTTGCAGTTGGCCTATGTGTCTGGAAAAGGTGACTCTTGAGGGGAGATTGGGAGAAATATTGTAACTTGGTATTTTCAAGAGCAGAAGTCTCTCTTGGTGTTAATTGCCTGAAAACCTCTCTCCCTCTCCCTAGCCCCCTGCATTGCATGTCACCAGTGTTTTAGTGCAGGTTGGGTCGGTCCAGTTGGGGTTCAGCCCAGTGAAAAGGTCTGACAAATCCCACTTGAGTCAGTGGGGCTTTAAAGAGGTGGATTTGTGCAGGGTAGTCTTCTCCTTACACCTCCTTTCATTTTGCCTCTTCCTGTAGGCAGTTCCATAAATCTCATGCTTCTTACCCTTCTAGATGTCTTTCCCCAGCTCTCACAGTCAGCTGGAGCTATGCCAGTGCCACAGCTTGCTGCAGTCTGGAGAAGATATCCTTCCTGCAATGGCAGCTGTGCAGTCCCAGCCATAGTGCCCCTCAGACCTTTCTCTGAGCTCACAGCTCATTAGGCAAGCGGAACACAGCTGAGCCTTTGGTAGTTATTTTTGTTGATGTCGTTTTCTGCAAGGTTGCCTAGTTTTCTGCAGAGGGGTCAGATAAGCACAAGTGACTCCAAGGAAGGTGATGGAAGTTGAGGTTCTGGGAATGCACATCCCAGAAGAAGATGAAGATTTCTGGCTAGGCACAGCACTTCTGTCCTCTGAGTTTCTTGCTGAAAAAGCTGAAGTGACCAGGTGGCTGGGTAGCCCCCTTCTGGCAGAAGCTGTGGGGTTTCCCAGCCTAGCATCTCCATGTCAAGCTTTCTGGGTGTGGATGAGGTGCCGTGGTGTATTGCAGGCTGCAGTGCCCAGTCAGCAAGGGGCTTCTCACCTCGGACATGGGAAATGGCACTGCTTCCTCTGCTCCCACTGCAGGGCAGGAGCTCAGTGCATGAGCAGTGTGAGGTGAGGGGATGCTCCTGACTCGGCCTGGTTGGTGAGGTAACAGATGTGAGCTTGAGTAACCCAGCACATGCTCTTGCCCACAGGAAGCGCTGGAAGCGTGCCAGACGCGCATCTCCAAGATGGAGCTGCAGCAGCAGCAGCAGCAAGTGGTGCAGTTGGAGGGGCTGGAGAATGCCACAGCCAGGAACCTACTGGGGAAGTTCATCAACATCTTGCTGGCTGTCATGGCTGTCCTCCTCGTCTTTGTCTCCACTGTGGCCAACTGCGTTGTGCCCCTGATGAAGACTCGCAATAGGACGTTCAGCACTTTATTTATAGTGGTTTTCATTGCCTTTTTGTGGAAGCACTGGGATGCCATCACCGGCTACTTGGAACGATTCTTGTCTCCCCCCAGATGATGGTGGCAGGAATGGGCTGCGCCGCTCGCTCCTGGTGCTCCTGGTGAGCAAGTGTGGCAAAGATTAGTCAGCGACTACTCTGCTGAAGTTTTAAAGTGTCCGAGTGAATTTGTTTACATTTAGAATAACGTTTTTTCTCTGCAAGATGCATTGCAATAGTATTTTTTAGATTTTACTCAAGAACTCTTTTGTCAAGAATCCTGGATAATTTTTATGTAGCATGGTTCTCTTTGGATGCAAATCTTAAGATTCTTTAAAGTGTACAAAAGAAATGAATAAAACACAGAAATTTGGAGCATACCAATGGGCAGTTTAAATTGTGGCTTGAACTACTGTACTAAACCTGTCAGGAAGAAGAGAACGTGGTTAGCTTAAGATGAGCAAAGCTCAATCTAGTGCACAGCCTTGAATGATGGTACCACAGCAAACCTGTAACACTAAACTTTTACTGTGAAGTCTGCTCACATTCCATGTCCGAGTGTATGCGTTGAGTGGTTTCTTTCCTTAACAAGAGAAAAACAACAACGTGTGGATCCCTCTCCCAGCTCAGCATCTGGGTTCGCCGTTGGTGTTAACCTGACTTCAGTAACTTTCTGTAAGGCTGGCTAACTTGGCTGAGTATATGGAGTGGAAGCCTCATGCCATATACAGTAACTGCACAGTCGTGCTACAGTATTTTGAAGTAGTCCTTGAAATACATATACTCTTTAAGCAGAAGCCCTTGGTCGCACTTTTAAGGTTTTTTTTTAATATATGTATATTCACAGATTTAAAAAAAATCCGAACAGCATACTTGAAGAGTGTAATACTCAAACTCTCAGTGCTTCCTTATTGTTTCTAATAGGATTTTTTATTATAATTATAATTATTATTATTATTATTGGGGTTTTTTTTGAAGGGGTTGGGAGGGTCATTACTTTTTTTCTTTCAAATAAAGAAGTGATGTTTTTAAATGAAGAAATGCGTGAATAATTGTGAGCCGTCTTGTCCTGAAGCAGTTCTGAGAAGGGCAGAGAGTAGTTTCTAGTGTCAGGCTGTCAAATGCAGCACTGTCCATATGCCATTTGTCTGTCCTCCTGAGCTTAAAGATGCAGCATCATGGAAAACATCTGTTTTCTCCACACTTTTTTGTCATGCAGGGCTTTTTTTCCTTTTTCCACATGTGAAGGATGCTATGTTTGTATTTTTTGTTTGCATGTCATCTGTCATTCCTGGCCTCAGGATAAGAGCAAGGAATTTCTGTTCATCTCTTCCTAGGGAAAAGACAGGTTCTTTTGAGGAAAGAAATACTGACTCAACAGTTCACTTAACAGAATGGTTATCTCAAAAATAGTTCTAACTAAAAAAAAAACAAACAAACAAGAAAAAAAAAAAAAACAAAACAAAACAAAAAACCCAAACAAAAAACCCAAACAAACAAAAAACCTGAAAAGCGAAACCAAAGTTTTCCTCCTGTCAGGCTCTGGTAAGATTATTTGTGTGTCTGTATCTGTGGTGTGCCATCCTCTTTTTCAGCCACAAGGGACAGCACTTGGTGCAGACACCTGTGCAAATCCCAAAAGGAAATGCCAGCTTCAAATGCAGCCCCAAGTCTTCACAATGTGCCATTACTGGTGACCTGTTGGTACAGGTAGGCAGCCCTCAAGTCCAAGAAAACTGTGTTCATTCTGTGCTGATTTTTAACTGCTGTCCCTTTCACCATAACAGTGCCAAGATTCATCTTTTGTCTCCATGAAATCTAAAAAAAAAAACCCTCCAGGATTCTGTCAAAACCATTTATGGTGTTTAGTTAGGTCTTAATGTTTTCCTTCATTCCAGGATCAACTTCCCTCTAGGAATCAAATATTGCCCAAGTGACCTAAACCAGTTGAAAACATACATGGGCATGTATGAGACATGTACAACGTACATATACACACATACATAGGCATTGTGCTATGATACAGATTCTGGGTTCTGAGAAATTCCCTCAGACAAGGTTAATACCTTGAGTGTTTTCTGATTGCCAACAAAGGCAAACCCTCCACTCTCCAATCTTTCTTCCTCCAAGGGTTCTTTTTTTCTGTAGTCACAGGAAATTCAGGTGCCCTTCCCCCAGGGATCCCAGTACACCTCTCTGTCACCATGTGCACTAATCTGCTCCTGTCCTAATTAAAACCAAAACTAAAATAAAAAGATTGACATTTACAGCTGACTCAAGCCAAAACTGCTTGTGCTTTCACTGCAGTGCCACAGCCAGAGCAGGGGTGTGTGGCCGTTCCTCCCCTTGCTCCTGGCTCCGGTGAGGCTCTTCTCTAGTGACTCACATTTCTTGGCTAACTATCATCTTGCCATTTTGCAGGTTTTGTCAGAAACAAATGTGTGAATAACAGTAAGAACTGATTTGGCACATAACTGAAATACTTTGTTGCCTTTTTTTTCCTGAAACCTGGCCTTTGTACCTCTTTTGCTCAGTCTTGTTCACACTACAATTGCTTAAGATAGGTTTTCATGTGATCAAATCAGGAAGGAGTTAAAAGCCAGTGGCTCTGGACATTCAGTGTCTGTAGTATTTAAGGAAGTGTTGTCCCTCTTTATATCCTAATTTCATTTCTTTTCTCAACTCTGTCATCTTCAGTAAATACCATTTGCTAGCTTGCCAGAAGGTGCAGGTTTAATAGAAACTGACATCTCAGAACTCTTTGGTGAAGGGCCATATACATATGGGTCTGGACAAAGTGTCTGTCTCTTTCTCTCTCAACAGTTTCTTCCATTCCAGAAAGCTGTCTGCAGTAACGTCATGTATGATGCTGCATCCACTTCTCATATCCTAACACGACTGCCATGTGTTTTGCCTTTTGCACTAGCAGAACATTTTGGGGTTTTCCTCCCTCTTCAATTTGAAAGTCTGTGATGATTTCTGATAGCTTAATGATGATGTTGTTGGAAATGTGATTCTAGCTTTAAAGCTCCCTTTCCTTGTACATGGTTGTGTTTGCTTTCCTGATGGAGTGCTTCTGGGTGACATGTAGAGAACAGTTTCTGCTGTGGATGTGAGTGCGTGCGTGAGTACCTTTAATAGCCTCCTTTGTAGATAAAAACTTCTTAGTGACCATCTCTGAGTTGCAGAATGTTTCCCAAAACATTTCATATTCAGAGTTGAAGTGATTCAGAAATTGCTTAGATGCGTTTAGCACATACTGCCTTGGCACATAAAAAGGGAAAATTACTATGGACTGTGTAAGTTCCAGGAGCAGCACCTCCTCATTAACATTTGAGGGTTCAAGTGAAGTTCATCTGTTTCCCCTATTTCCTTCAATATAAAGAAGAAAGAAAATCTGGATGCAAAAAAAAAAAAACCAAACTTTTAAAACTTTTATAAAGTTCTTTTTTCTCTCAGCCTCATTAGTTCATTTCAAGGGTATTCAGCATGCTCCCAGCAGTTACTCTATTGGTTTATTCCAATCCCATGTGTGTTTAGGTGGGATCAGATGAACTGCTGACTTATGTGCGTGTTACAGGAAAGCAGTCTGTCAGCTTTGAAAATATGCATTTTTAAAATTAAAAAAAGAAAAGGCATTATAACAAAAGAAGCCAAGCTACAAAGGGTTCAAGATTGAGTAGTTTTTCCAGTTTTTAAATGAATTCTGGAAGTGGCTAAAGAGTTACCCTGTGTGTCTGTGTTGTGTATGCCAGGTGGTATAGTCGTAGGCAATTGACTTAGCTGTAAGTGTGTTTTAAAAGTGTAAAAAAATAAACAGAAAAACTCACTTGCACGGGTTGAAAAGTACAGAAATGACACTTGTGAACGTAACACTGTAGTTTATAGATCTTAAGCTGCTAATTGTTGAGAGAGATTTACATTTGTCTTGTCTGATTGTCGCAGATTTATCTGTGGCAATTTTACTGTATATAAAAAACTTTAAATAAAGACCTCAGCTATTAACACCGGTCTAGTTTGGATCTTTCCGGAGGGGTGAGGGCAGGGGGAGGGAGGTGCTGTCATGGAGAAGAAGAGGAGTGTGTCAAAACTGCTGAGCCCTGAGAGCTCAAAATGTCGGCAAGTTTTCCATAGCTCTGATTGTCAGACTTTATCCTACACTCAGCCGGCCACACACCACTAGGGCACAATGAAAATAAGCTGGTGTCAGTGTCTGGTCTTTGCACGTGGAGGAAAGGAGCAGCAGCATTGCATTCATCCTCACTGATCCTTTCCAGCCCCCTTGTGCCTGGGACAGCCTCTGGCTCAGTTTGCAGGTCAGTTCAGTCAGACTTACCCACGAAGTGTCTGTCTTGGAAGGACCAGAAGCTGGTCCTGTATTTTTCCACCACTGGTCTGTGGCCTGCCCTGTCCCAGATGAGAACAGCCCTTGCTGCTGTGGACTTTGTCCTTAAGGGATTTCAGGGCCCACTCTGTGTGACATGCGTATTTAGAGGCAGGTGCACTTGCAGCATCACCCGTGTGTCTCAGGGAGCTTGTGATGGAGCAGTTCCAGGCCTGGCTCCGTTTGGATGAGAAAGGCTGCAGCTGCCAGGACAGCACTCCTTAGCAGAAAGCTCCCTCTCCCTGAGCAGAGGCAAGAGACTGCACTATGGTGGTTGAGCCCCTGCCGTAAACAAGAGGTATTTTGGCTACTGTGTTTCATAGAAGAATTTCTGAATCCTTTATTATTTGTACAAACTGAAAGTTAGCAGATTCCTCACTGGTGTGGAGAAGATACTTGTTCCTCTTGGGGTTTGGTCATGTGGTATCAGGAAGAACCAAGAAGGGAATGGAAACAATATTTTAAGGATAAAGGTACTGAGTCCTTTTCTCTGTTTTCACAGAGATGCAAGTACTGTAAAACCAGCAAGAGATCAAAAAGCAAAAGCAGCTGTTTGCAGGATTTTTCCCCCTGTAATCTCCTCACAACCAGACTGCAGATTCCAGCAGTTTATGCATGAAGCAAGTGCATGGTGCTGCTTTTGCTAGAGCTGTCTGGCTCAGGATGGGACGTGGCTGTGAGGGTAAATGATTCTGCATTCTTTTGGGACGGTCACCTGAGAGGTGCTGGCTGTGGCTCAGGAGCAGCAGGGGACCATGATGACCAAAGGTGAAAGCACTGGCCTTCTACTCCCATGTCAACAGATTTAATCTGATAATGTAGGGGATTAGGTGGTGTTACTCAGCTTTTTGGTTAGTCTGTGGGAAGTGGTTTGATAGCTCCACCCAGGTCCTGGGGAACAAACAGGGATATGGCAAGGGTACAGCCAAGCTGGGTTGCAGCAGTGGAGGTGAGGAATTGGCTGATGTTTCTCACTGGAGCAGTCATTCTCGCCGGCCAAATAACATCACTTTGATGTGCTAATAGTGGAAATTTTAGCAAACAGCCAGCTCCCTACCACAAAATACCAGTCTTTAAGTTGTTTCTTAAACACCAAATCAACTGGTGTTTAAGTGTTAGTCAGTAGTTCATCAGCCTCAGTGGATCCTCCCTCACTGACTGGAGTTAGAAATAGGAAGAGGGTTCTTTGCTGCCTGAGTTAGCATGAAATAGAATATCCCAGGGCAAACCAGCTTTGCTGAGTGGCTTGTACTCTAGCCAGATCCCCTCTGAAATTAGGAATAAGAGTCAACTTGAATTTGTTCTTGGCCTTTGTACTAGCCTTGTGCCAACCCTGGCCAAAGGGGAAAAAAGAAGTAATATTGCCTGAGAAGGGCCAGAGCAGGATGGGAAGATGCAGTGTGTTTTCAGCCCTCTTCCTCAGTGCAGCTGTTCCTGTAGTCCTGCCTGCTTTCAGGTGATACTCTCCTTGCCTTACAACCAAGAGGTCTGAAGGCATTCAGAAGTTCCTCCACTACACATAAAACAGTGTTTTCAGATTGGGGTCACCTATCAGACCTCTGTTGCGACAGCCTGAGGACACCTCTGGCTCCAAATCATTGTTTGAAGAACACCTTTATGCCTAATCCTGATTGTGACCTCCAGGGAGGAGGATGCCTGAGAGCCTGTCTGGCCAGGATAGAGAAGCAGATGAGTGTGACACCACATTGCATTATCTGGTCAGTCAGCTCCTCAATTCCACCTGATTCTGACACATCTGCATATCACCGAGGTGCCTCCCCAGTCCCTGAGGGTGAACAGGAGCTCTGGGCCAAGCCAGCCCCCGTTCCTCCTCAGCTCTGCTGAGCATGTCCCTGAAGGGGATGGGGCTGACACAGATGAGCGCACTGAGGGGGAGGCAGCTGCTTGCTTTGCTCTGGGAAGGAGCTGTGACAGCATGGCTCATGCTTGTCTCAGACACACCCTGAGAACTAAACGAGATATTTTACAAATACCCCATCCTGTTTACCTGGGCAAAGGATCCTGAGAAGAGGTTGTTGCTGGGAGCGGCCAGACTGGCCCAGGCGGGGCCGAGTCTTCGCTACCCCGAGTGCCCAGAGCCGGGCCAGGGGGTGCCTGGGGCGCTGCTGGCTCGAAGTTATAGGGACGGGATCTGGACCGGCTGATGGGAGCCCTTTTGATCTCGGAGTTAACGGAGGGGCCCAGACGCCTTCGAAGGCTCCGGCCCGCGTGACGCGCGCGGGTCCCTCCGCGCCCTGAGGGGACTCGCGACCTCCTCGGCTCTGAGGCCGCCTGGCGGCGGTGCCTGGCACTGCACGTTGCGCGCGCCCGCGGTCTCAGGCGACCCCTGGCGGCCACGTCTGGCAGCGCGGGCGGAGCCCTCGGGCAGCGGCCGGGCCCGGGAGCCGCGGGGCTCTCTCGGCGGGGGCTGCGGCTTGGCCGCCGTGCCCCTGCACCCCGCGGGGCCGGGCTGCACCCGGCAGCGGCGGGAAGGTGCGCAGAGGACATGGCAACGGGCACCGGGAGCGGGGCAGCCGGCACAACCCAGCCCGCCCACTTGCAGGCACTGCCGGAGCGCCCCGGCTCTGCCGCTGACTGCTCGGTCAGTGCTGCCGCATCCCGGAGCAGCGTTGTGCAGCGGGAGGGCACGTGCAGACCCGGACCTGCTCGGTCATACAAACACCTCGCCGAGGCTATCCCGGGCTCCGGGGCATCCCGGATGTACAAACGGCCTTGCCATGCAAATGTCCCGGCCGCTCCACCGCCCGGCCACGGGCAGCAGCTGCAGCAGCACGCCGAAGTCCCTGTGCTGGTTCTACTGGGCAGGACCCCTCTCCTCCATGGTGCAGCATCATTACAGCAGTAACTCAGTGGTTATTACTGCTCGGATGCAGTCCGGTATCGTGTTGGCTCGGATGAGGAGGAGCCTCTCTCCCTGCTCAGGCTTTGCAGGCCCTCTCCCGACCCTGCACAGGGCAGCCAGGCCTGTGCTCGGCTCCGTTGCCCACCTGGAGAGAGAATAGGCAGACACAGGCTGCAGCTCTGCAATGCCTCGTGCTCCCTGCTCTGAAGGGAGCCATTCCGAGGGGTAATTGTTCATGGGACATGCTTGACGGCCCTCAAACCAGCAGTCACATACGGCTGAATGCACTGCTTCTGTTGTTAAGCATGGTTGGGTCTGTGATTACGGTGGAAATCAGTCATTTGCCTGATCTGGACCTTTCCTCCCTTCTCCTCAAAGTGAGGGTGGAGTCTACAAAGATCTGCTAACATGCTCCTCCCTGCTTCATCCACTGCAGCTCTGCTGAGCACTCAGACCTGATCTCCTGCTGCTTCCTCTCCTGTTCCCATTCCTGCTCCCATTCGTGATGTCTTTGCTCGCAGTTCTGGCTCTAGAGGCTTGGTGTCTCCTCTAGCTCCCAGAAAACGTGCTGTCCTGTTTGCTGGCTTGTCCCAGAAACAAAGGGGAAACCATGCTGATCAAGGCTCCCAAGCACCAGCCTCAGCCCTGCTCTATTGGAGTGGTGTCCCCACCTAGAGAACTCACACACAAAGGAACTTTTTCTTGGATGCAGGGTAGCTTCCTAAGAGAAAAGGAAATTGAAAAATCATATGAAATTTTGAGGTTCTTTGAGAACAGGACAGAGAAAACATAGCAACAGTGGCTACATTGATAAATTCTGCATTTCCTGACACGGGCTGGGAAGGAGGGATCCCTGCAGCAGCAGGACCACAGAGTGATGGGGGCTGGAGGTGGCAGACAGGCCAGCTCAGCAGGCACATGGCAGTGCAAACAGAGCTGGTAAGCACAAGCTGCCTGTGGGCCCGGGGCAAGATAAACCTGCAGATTTTCAGCCTGAAGGTGTTCCCTCCTATTAGCAAAATGCCCATCATCCTTCTGCCACATCCCCCTTCGAGAAGTTGCTAAGAGCTGCACCTTTTTCCAGGTGTTACCTACATCGTTAATTACTGGGGGTAAGGTGTGGCCTCATCTGAAAATGGGGAGGCTGTGGAATGAGGGCTGTGGGGCCAGGGCACAACTGTGAGTTGAGAAATGCAGGGAGCTGTCTGGGAAAAGGCTTTTAATTGAGCTGCTGAAATCCTTCCCCCTCTCCCCATCAACAGAATGAAACTGGGTGTTCTGCTGTCCAAGATAATATTTTGTTTTGCTCTGGTGTATGGACAGTTGTGGGAGCTGCTGGTGGAACCCCGTGCAGGAATTCAAGGAACGTGAAAGGTGAGTGAGCCGGTGTGTCAGGTCCTTGTGCGGGGAAAGCTCAGCCCCACGGCGGGCTGTCCGCGCAGCAGAGCCGAGCCTGGGGCCGGGGCTGGGCACCGGCGGGCGGGAGGGCGCGGGGGCTCCGGCAGCGCGGCCCCGGCGCAGCCGCTCCTGCCGCGGGTGCTCGCAGGGAGCCCGGAGCCAGCGCTCTGCAGGGCTGAGACACCGGGGCAGCCTCGGCTTTTCCTCGCTGCCGGCTGACGAGCCCAGGGCTGTGCAGAGCAGCAGCGAAGCTCGCCTAGCCTGGACCCCCGGCCTGACACAGAAACACACGCGAGGCACGGCTGGTCAGGATTATCGCCCTTGCTAGGCTGACCTAAACGTGCTTTACACACGGAGGTA